TAAAAAAACATCAGTGTAGGGTTAAAATATCGAATAAATGTAATTATATCCACGAATAAATTCATATCAAATCGAATGTAATAAATATTTCGGACATTCACCAAAGCATATCTGTGATTGTCGACATACACCGGTGAGGGTCCGAATGTACAAGAATGTAATGAAATATTCGATCTTTCACCGACGTATTTGGTGTCTGTCGACATTCACCGGCGAAAGTCAACAACCACCGATTTCGGTCCTTCGCCGTGACTTATATATATATACAATAATGTATATGTATTAAGTGTGGTGATTATGGAACACTATTGGTAAGATCATAAGTATTCGGTGATTTTGAAAGATTTAGTACCTAAACTGGAAAGATACGTTATATGCTAACAATTTCAAGATAACGACAGAAAATAATTTTTAGTTCAACAATCATCATTTATTAAATACTTTTATTAAAAACGTTAGTTACATCTGGAGAAAAATGACAAGATCACTTTTTTCAAATCAAACCATTTTTTGTAACTTTTTGTTAAATCAATTTTTGTGCTCTGATAAATACTCCGGATCAAATTATTTTTTACCATAATTTGATTTGGAATTTTTTATAATGTAATACAACTATTTCATGCTATTGATAAGAGCATAGTAATTTGGTGCTTTTGTTAGTATTGGGACACAAACCGGAGATATATGTTGAATGTTAACGGTTAGGTTAACCACGATTAAAGGTTAATTTCAGGAGAACTTAATTTTAATTTTAACAATCATCATTTGTTAAATACTTTTGATGAAAATATAAGTTGCAAGTAATGACTGATTAAATAAATCTTTCCTACTAAAACCATTTTTTTAATAGTGGTGCAACCCTTTTGTTGGTAAGAGCATAGTTGTTTGCCACTTTTGGAAGTGTTGGAACTTAAACTGGAGAGATATATCAAAGTTTAACGGTGTGCCATAATAAATAAATAGCTTCAATTTTCAGAAGAATAGCATTAGGAAATACTAACTATAAGGCAGTAAAGAGTTGAGTTGAAAAAAAATAAAGATTTGAGTTGATAGCTCTAAAAAATATAGTAGTTAAATATTTTCATTACTTGCCATGTATTCCGCCCCAAAATACAGTCAGCCAGATAATATTTGGAGCGACCACGCACAGGGCAATTCCAATCGCTGCTATCAGTCCACCAACAAATGTCACATTTCGAGCCCCATATCGTTCACCTAATATACCCACAAAAGGACCTATTTAAAAATATAAAACATATTTTCATGAGAATTTCTGATAAATAACTCGATTTTCACTCGATATACCTCATGATCAAATACTGCGCTGTTGCTACGAAACAATCTCGGTTCTTAACAGATTTTGTGCATGACATACGTGAGAATATCTAATAACACAAAATACAAGGTAATAAACGCAAATGAGTGAGGAATTGAATTATTGATACTCTTTTGAACGTGTATGGTTACATGTAGTTTTCATCCTCGCATCGTGTTTGACACCAATCGCTGAAAGGGAGTGGCTGGGTAGGGTAAAAGGGTTAGTGTATGTGTGTGCATGGGTCAAATATTAATTTTACTTTACGCTGTATTATTTTAGATTAATTCTTATTCACTGACTTATATTCTGATTGTGAAAATCAAGATATGTCATAATTTGTTAATAAATTCTTAATAAACTTCGCAATTTCTTAATAAAATTAGTAGGTGCAACTTTCAAAATTTCACTTCATGAGTAGTACAATTTTCTTAGTTTGGAAAAAGGAAGATTGGCGAAATAAATATGTAAATAGATTTTTATTTCTTTGAACAGTTTTTTAAATAGTTTTTTTAGAGTATATTAATAAATAGTATTTTTCAGACTTCAAAATTTACTAATTAGGGGATTAATTATTAAAAAAAACTTGTCAAAATGCAGAAATAATATTTATTTTTATTTATTACTAAAACTCCATTCGTTCATAGTTAAGAAAAAAGGATTAAGTGATTATAAAACAAGATTAAAAATTTAGAATATGATATAAAATTGTTCAATATTTTTTTTTTTAACTAATATTTATTTTAACCGAACCTGAATTTTAACTGAAATAACTTCAATATTTTCATACTTCAAAGTATCTGTAAAATACACTTTACAAAAATTATAAAATAGTATTATTACTTAATTGAGATTTCAGTGTTTTAATTCTTTCTTANTTAGAATATGATATAAAATTGTTCGATATTTTTTTTTAACTAATATTTATTTTAACCGAGCCTGAATTTTAACTGAAATAACTTCAATATTTTCATACTTCAAAGTATCTGTAAAATACACTTTACAAAAATTATGATATAGTATTATTACTTAATTGAGATTTCAGTGTTTTAATTTTTTCTTATTTTCCTTGAGCAATTTTCATAATTATGCTTCATTTTAATTATTAAGTGAAAGTTTTATTTAAATATTGCAACAAAAAAAAGTAAATAGAAGTAAAATTTGCATTATTTCTTTCAAATTTAAGAAAAATTGCTAACAGTCAACCATCAACTTCGAGATAAACTTTGTAAATATAATTAAATATTAATTTTAACTATTTTATTTCAATCAATGCATTCCATTTATACATTTTTCAATGCAAATAACTTTAGATAATTTCAACCAAATAAGAATAAATTTTATAAGGCAATCCACTTAAGAGGCACTTGCATTTAAAAATCTTTCATTCATAGGTATTTCAATTTTAAACTTTTCATATGTTTAGTCCCACTTTAACTCCGAATCCTTGTTATTTTGAACCCAATCCAGAAGACAAGGGAACTCCTGAACCATGTGTTGGGAGAAATGTGTCTTTGTTGAGGACTTTTTGATGGAACTTACCCGCATTTGTGTTACATGGGGAGGAAAACCACGAAAACATATCACTGGAGACACTAACCCTTGATGCGTCTACCGCTTAGGATATTTATCCCATTGAGGATATTGCACAGTGGTTGATGCAAACCGGTTGCGGAATCCGTATCCACCAGCCATCCCTGGGATTTGAAACCTGCTCATCTAATTTGAAGGCGAACGGTCTTTTCCCGCGCCATCATGGCTCTTCCCACGTCAAAATTCATGCTGGTACCAGCAACAAAAATATGCTAGTTTTTGCTATGTATTGCTAGATCTGCTAGATTTTCATGCTAGTATATGCTTTTTTATGCTTGCCAGCATCAAATTTTCGATACCTAGCATACATCGTACTAGCATGATAAGCTATGTACAAGCATCTCATGCTGGCTCCCAAGCATGGTAAGATAGGCACCTTAGCAAGCTATTATATGCTTGCCGGCACCACATGCTAGATACCTAGCATACATCGTACTAGCATGATAAGCTATGTACAAGCATCTCATGCTTATTAGCTGTTTAAGCTGGCTCCCAAGTATGGTAGGGTAGGTACCTTAGCAAGCTATTTTATGCTTTTTTATGCTTGCCAGCATCACATGCCAGATACCTAGCATACATCGTACTAGCATGATAAGCTATGTACAAGCATCTCATGCTTATTAGCTGTTTAAGCTGGCTCCCAAGCATGGTAAGATAGGCACCTTAGCAAGCTATTATATGCTTGCCGGCATCACATGCTAGATACCTAGCATACATCGTACTAGCATGATAAGCTATGTACAAGCATCTCATGCTTATTAGCTGTTTAAGCTGGCTCCGAAGTATGGTAGGGTAGGTACCTTAGCAAGCTATCATATGCTTTTTTATGCTTGCCAGCATCACATGCTAGATACCTAGCATACATCGTACTAGCATGATAAGCTATGTACAAGCATAAGATTGAAATATTCAGTTTATTGAAGTTCAATTTAATTTCCATTATTTTGCAGTTCAGTTAAGTTTGCAACCATGTTAGTGAGAAAGTTTTTATTGCGGTTTCTAAGATGTTATGCAGACGACTTCTTTCTCCTATTTCTTTGTGAGAAAGTAGTAAAAGATTTTTTTAATTCTTTTTGGGGTAAATTTTGCCAGTTTTTTTTATTTTTTTTTAAAACTTTTTTTACAGACTATTGTATAAAAGTACATAAAGAGCATTTTTCTAATTTTAGGTTTAAGCATTAAAACAAGGTTTAAAAAGATTACTTTCCTAAAAACTTACTAAAACAAGTCACGCAATCATAACTATTATACGATACTAACTCAATTTGAAAAATATTTTCAATTTTAACTATGTTTCTATAACCCTTAGATCAAGAGGTATTCACTGCACAGTTTTTGACACCCCATATATGGAAAACTCAAAGTCTAATTTGATTAAAAGTTTAATATTTAACCACAATTTTTTAAAAATTTATTAGCTTAATTTAGCTATGTTTCGATATAAATAAAGATAATAGTTTTTAAAAATATTAAGATATATATATTCATATTTTAAAAATATTAATATAAAATATTAATTAATATTAGAAGAGGTAATCATGTAATCAAATAAATGTTTGAATAAAATTTACTAGAAAAATCGCTAACAGGAAGAGTAAAATAAGATTTAAAAAATAAAATTTTTTACTTATAAATGTAAAATGTAATTAAAATCTCCAAACAAGTAATAGTTTTAAAAAATAAATTATATTTTAAAATAAAGAATTTCTTTTAAGAAAAATTTAAATATAGAACATAATGTTTTTAAATAGAAATAACGTTTTTAAAAAACAATGAAATATTTTTAAAATAAAGAATGTTTTTTGAAAATAAATAATATTCAACAAAATAAGAATTTTTTTATAAACAATAATAAAAATTTGATCTTCTTTAAATAAAAAAGCAATATTTAAAAAAATAATAATAACAATTCCCTTCAACCAACAATACAAATAAATAATGGTTTTAAAAAATAAATTTAAAATTTTGAATGTTCATTCGTCATGCTCTTCCTCATATTTATGAGGAATATATGAGGAAGACCATACTTCCTCATATACACCACTTAGTCAACTCCACGCGGAAAGTTTCGCACGCAACCAATGTCTGATTGTTATCCATGGGTTTGTAACTCACTGAATTGGATTCCTGCTTCATTCGTGTTATTTATTAATTCAAATATTTATTAATTCAAATATTTATTGATCCATATCGTGATATTTATTAGAGCTACTGAGTATTTACCAATTTAGAGGTCAATTAGGTTCGACACGCACGTCATGACGTCGCTTACAGGTCTGATCTGATATTAAATCTGATATAAATCACACGGTTAGGCATAATCAATTCACCTGTATCTCGTGTTGCAAGTACCCATTTGTGTTTAGTTAAATCGAAACTCTACAGGTAATATTTTTAGTATACGGAACACACAGGATTTGGCGAAAGAGATTAGTTTGCATAAGAAAGTATTTCTTCATTGTGAGTATTAATACACCTTAACTTCTTAAAAGATAGCTTTCTTTTGTTTGTAAAGAACACAAATGTATGCAGTTAATTTGAAATTATGTATATCTGAAATAATAATGCAGTTAATTTGAAATTATGTACATCTGAAATAATAATGCATCATTTTGATGTCGGCAATTATTTTCGAAATCATGCCAATGCCTTGTACTGCTAGGGATTTTACCCTCATATAGGTGTTATTATTAAAATTCTATGTTATTTATTAAGACATTTAGGGGATTTACTTACAGACTATGTCAACCTTCATCTATCAAAAGGGACCTCAAGATAGAATTAAGTTAACATGTCTTATATACTAGTAAATTGGTATTTAATATTTTTAATGGTAGTTACGTCACATTACTCCCCTTTCAGAATTTTATCTGTGATAGAATTCGATGAAAAAAAATACCAGTAGTTAATTTATACTGTTTATTTCTTTTTTATATCATTTTTGCTCATTATATTTTTTCTTCATTTTCATTTATTTGTATCATTCCGCCCATTATTTTCTTCAATTTCATTCTTTGACTTTTATTTACTTCACCGGAATTTTTTTTTATAAGTGCTATATTTTTAGCAAATCAATTGTTTAATGTGAACCATCCATCGGTTTCGTGGAGTTCATAGCACGTCCGCGGGTCACCATTGAGGGGATTTATTTTTAAACCATGTCAACCTTCATCAATCAAAAGGTACCCCATGATAGAACCAAGTTATAATGTTTCATTTTCTAGTGAATTGGCATTTAATATTTATAGAGGTGGTTAAGCCACAACATTACAATTAAAAATGCAATTCGATAACTAAAGCTCAGAACATCGCTGTACAGAGATAAAGTAAAACGCACCGGCCAGGCTCCTGACAGAACTTCTGACAGAGAAAGGAAGAGTTGCTTCTTTTCTTCCAACATCATAATATATCAACATGTGTACGTACAATATCCCTACAATCCGTGTCATTCCAGAGAGAATTAGATTGATAAAGAAAGACGAAATCGCGATTGTCCAAGCATAACCTTTATCAGGCTCTTCAAGGTACGCCATCGTTACTTTAAAGTGGAAAACATGTTTCGTCCCCAAGATACTTCGACGATTTTGAAATAATAAAGTCATGCCAACAACGATATTTTGTTCAGAATCTTCTCATAGAGAATAAGTGTTGATTCAATTTCCTGCAAAAGATATCATGCTTTTTGCGACCAAATGAATACGAAGCCAGTTAAAATGTATCTAAATTATAAGTTATTTCTACCGTAATTGGTTACGTTCAACTCCAGAAGAAGTGAAGTGATTATGTCTATAACCATGTGATTTAAATCAGATTAAATTGGATACCTAGAAGTGACGTTACGCGTGCGTATCGAACCTGATTGGCTTCTGAATCAACAAATGCCATGATTCAAGTACGATGACGTTACTTACAGGCATCCAGTTAAGAGTTTCTCACGTTAATTGGTTACCTGATTTTATTTCAAAGTGCGAAAGGTTATTATACAAACCTACACAATTTTACACAAGAAATAGGTACACTTTGCAGGGAAAAATTAGTTATTCTCTTAAAAGTGCAGAAAAATAACTAATTGTAATCGAATTCGCTTTTATTTTCATTATTTTTTGTTACAGATGTTTATTTATAAACTTATTTGAAAATAATCGTCCAGATATATATATTTATATAGCATGGTATCCAAATCGAACAGTATTTCAGAAGCTCCGTTCGAACAATTGTTTATTGTGATTTTGTAAGTCTGAATTATCATTTTAAGCCTCAAGGCACCCAAATAGCAAACTAAGTTTTTTTTCACTCAACAAAAACCTTTTCATGTAAACCTAAAAAGGGTTTTTACACGGTTTGCGTGTACACCTTCTAACCTTAAAACGAGGTCCGCGACAATCTGCTCTATTCTACAATGATTACCCTAATCCAAAATCTTGGAAAACAACCTTCTACATAACAACCTTAAAACGAGGTTGTCTTAGGGTTTTCAAGGGAAGAAAAACCTTGAATAAAGCTAGTTCTAAGATGAAAATCATCTTAAATCTGCATAATTATAAGGTTTCCGTTTGCAGAGTTTCGTATGCTCAGCTAAAATCTACCTTGTCATGAGATTTTCATTGACAATGCAATTTAATATCATTGCTGTTTGATGCCCATTTCCTCAGACTGAATCCTGCGCTTGATAACATTTGCATCAATTGTGTTTGTAATTCATGAGCTTTACTGAGTGTCTCAGCTACAGACATTAAATCGTCTACATAAAAGTCTTTCATGACTGCATTGGAGGCCAAAGGAAAATTATCTGCTTCTTCCGTTGCTAGTTGCTGAAGACACTTTGTAGCAAGATAAGGCGCAGAAGCTGTGTCATAGACGATTCCAGTGAGTCGATAATCTTGAATAGGCTCAAAAGGTGAGTTACGCCATGCGATTCTTTGAAAGTCAGAGTTCTTCAAAATAACCTGTCTGTACATTTTCTCAATGTCTGCTGTTAGAGCAATTTTATGTGTTCTAAATCTTATGAGCAATATTGTTAAGTCATCTTGCAACTGCGGTCCTACCATCAATTTGTCATTAAGTGAAACACCAGTTGAAGATTTTGCAGAACCATCGAAATCAACACGGAATTTATCCCCGATTTTGTTTGGAACTGGATGATGAGGGAGATAAAAACTAGATGTGGCTGGAATATCAATGTCCGTTTCTGGTATTAATTCCATGTGACCGAGATCTAAATAATATTGCATGAATTTATGATACTGCATTGAAAGTGACTGATTTTCGATAAACCTACGTTCAATTTGTAACAAACGATGAATAGCAAAATTTCGAGATGAACCAAGTTCTTCAGATGACTCACGAAAAGGAAAATTGACAGCAAATCTGCCAGTAGAGTCTCGAGAAAATGTTTCTTTAAAATGATTTTCGCATGCAATTTCTTCCTCTGAATAGGACTTTGCTTCTGTAATTTCTTCTAGCTTCCAGAATTTATCTAACTGATATTCAGCTTCACTGCAACTAGCATGATTTGTTATGATTGTACGTGCTTTGATAGGTGACTTGCTTTCTGTTCTTCCAAGAATAACCCATCCGAAAATGGATTCTAGAGCAGTTAATGAAAGTTCTGGAATAGTTAAACGTCCGTTGAGCATTATTTCGCCAAAAACTTCTGCACCCAGTAAAATATCTATAGGTTCTGGTTGGAGGCAATATGCATCTGCTAATTTTAATTGTTTAAAATAATTCAAAACAGACGCATTGACCTCTGTTTGAGGAAGATCACAAGTTATTTTGGGTATATTTAAAGCTTCTATCGTGATGTTAGCATTTTTGTAAATTAATGATGTGGTGTGTAGTTGAACTGAACCTGTAACCTTACCTACCCTTTGTGAACTTAGGCCATCAACACTGATTCTCTCACTATTTCGTTTTAACTTTAATAAATTAACACAACTCTCCTTAATGAATGTGCCTTGACTGCCTGAATCTATAAGGAGTCTGCATTTATGTAGTGAGCCATCACCGCCCTGAACATTAACAACAGCGGTGGGTAATAAAACGCATTGAGTGACTGGAATAGTTGTGTTGTTGCTACTAATAGTAGAAATTATTTCGTTTTCCACCTGTGCTCTTAATTTTGTTTCATTTGAATTATTAGAACATAATAATGTATTATGCGGCTGAGCGCAGTTCTCACAAGTTCCCATACGGCATTTCGTAACTGAATGAGTTTTATTCGATTTGAGACAATTCGCACAAAGCTTATTTTCGTTTACTATGTCCCATTTTTCTTTCATCGGAAGTTCAATAAAACTATTCAAGGCCGGATTAACCTATAGGCACACAAGGCACGTGCCTAGGGCCTACGAAATTCAGGGGTCTACGAAAAACTTGGGAGAAAAAAATCAAAAAAAAAATCAAACGTANTGCACCTGTTTTTTCTGTTCGATACCAATTGATTTGATTTCTATGCTGGTTCGTTTGATAACAAATGAATAAAATGGATAATGGATCATTATTATTGGTGCTACGAGCACGCTATTGCTATAAGATCAACAACCAAATTTTAACTGTTTGGGGTTACAAGAAACGGTGGCGAAGATGCTAAGACAAAGATGCCAAATTGGAGCTATATTTCTAAGATATTGAACATCCACCCTCCGTTGAATTATATTTAATAAACTATACAGATTAGCATAACAATGATACAAAAACAAATTCCAACATAAAATTTACAAAGATTGAATAATGCTGTAGGTACACATAATGAGAAAAGTAACATGCATCCTCTTTAATTGTCCAACGGCAAAATACACAATTTACTAATGCTACGTTTAACGATTCCATTGCTTGTTTTAATCTCCGCTACTCTAACCTTTCCATCCGTTCCAGGAAATAGCTTTAAAATTCGTCCCAAGCTCCACTGATTTACAGGAAAATTATCCTCCCTTTTTAAAACCATCGTATTTAAATTTATGTTGGTTTTCTCTACTTTCCATTTTGTTCTTTGTTGCAAATTGTTCAGGTAGTCCCGAGACCACTTAATCCAAATGTATTGAACAATTTTTGCCAACCTTTGCCATCGAGAAAGTCGGGTTTCCGATTTATACAACAAACTAGGTTCAGCTATAGACCTTCCAACCAAAAATTGCCCTGGTGTTAGAACCTCCAGGTCATTAATATCATCTGACAAAGGTGTTAATGGCCGAGAATTTAGGATTCCTTCGACTTGTGTTGTTATTGTAAGGAATTCCTCAAATGATAATTTTAGATTTCCTGTAGCTCGGTTTAAGTAAAAATTAAAGGGTTTGACCCCTGCCTCCCAGAGGCCCCCGAAATTTGGTGCTCTGGGAGGAATAAAATTCCAAACTATCTCTTCGAATGCCAAATAGGATGCCAGTTTTTTGTCAGAAAATCTAGTTAAATTCTGCAATCGCTGCAATTCCCCTACTAGCCCCAACAAAATTTTTTCCATTATCAGATGATATAGTAGCTCATTTGCCACGCCTAGCAACAAAACGCTTTAAGGTAGCAAGAAAAGCATCAGTTGTTAAATCTGAAACCACTTCTAAGTGAATTGCCTTCGAGGCTAAGCACACAAATATTGGTACATAAATCCGTTGGAAATTCCCTTTTCTCTGGTGTTTATATTTAATTTGGAAAGGGCCGTAATAATCAACATCAGAGTGCAAAAAAGGATAATTAGGGTTTACTCTTTCTCTAGGCAAGGTTCCCATAAGTTGATTTGAAACAAAGGGTTTATGTTTAAAACAAACTATGCATTTATGAACAATTTTCCTAGCTATCGATCGACCACGAAGTGGCCAAAACTTTCTCTAGTGCAATATAATAACGTTTGAGGTCCTAAATGGAGATTTTTGATATGCAAATGAGTCATTAACAATTTAGTGTAAGGATGGTCTGCAGGAAGTTATACTGGATGCTTTTGAGAACAATTCAGAGCAGCACTATGCAAACGACCACCCACTCTGAGAATTTGATGACCATCAAGAAAAGGATTTAAAGAGTTAAGTTTACTCTTACCTGAAAAAGCCCTGCCCTTGGAAATAGCCTCTATTTCTTCCTTAAAAGCGGATGCTTGTACATTTCTAACTAAAAAGGACTCCGTCTCATTTAATTCATTAGAGGATAACTTACCAAATCTTTTGTTACCTGGATTTCTACAGTTGAATATGAATCTGCAAACATAACTTAAACCATTCAAAATTTTAGTACAATTATTGCTACGATTTAAAATATTGTCAATTAAGTCAAGTTTATAAGAAATTAGAAGTATTTTGGCAGGGGGTTTGAGTTCCTATAAAATTTCACTGTCTGAGGAGATTTTTTCAAAATATATTGGAATAATATTCAGTTCTTCTTTCAAAAAATCTGGTCCAAACCACCACAGTTCATGGGAGGCAATTTCCGAAGCATTCAGATCACGAGAGAAGACATCCGCAGGATTTTTATCAGATGCAACGTGATTCCAATGACAGTTCTTACTTAGTTCTTGCATTACTTTAACTCGATTACTGATAAAAGTATTGAGTTGATCAGGTGACCGTTGAAGTCATGCCAATACAATTGTAGAATCGATCCACAACATATTTTGTTGAATAGGCAAGGTTAGAGACTTAAGAACCTTGTTCAAAAGCTGTACCAATAAAACACTGGCACACAATTCTAAGTTAGGGATCGTGATAGGTTTTACTGGTGAAACACGGGACTTGCTGCACGAAAGTCTCGTATATGATGTATCGCCCGAAATTGATTGCAAGTGCAGAACTGCTCCATACGCAACGGCTGATGCATCGGAGAAGCCGTGAATCACGATTCCACTCTTCTCCCCCACGTGACGAGGAATTTGCATGTTTTCATGGTAGGTACGGTGGAAACAAAACACTGCCAATCTTTAGCCATTGAATCTGGAAGCGTCCCATTCCAAGCCGAGTATCCAGAGTTTCTAGAGAAACAATTTAGCCTTGGTTAGAATTGGACCAAGAAATCCAAGGGGTCAAACAAGCGTGAGATGGTGGATAACATCTTTCGTTTGGTGTATGAGTTATGTATATTTACATCAACTTTGAAGGTAAAATAATCTAAATTTGGCTTCCAAATAACCCCAAGGGATTTAATGGTATTTGGTGGCTCACAAAAGAAATCATAGGCTTGGTCTTCTAATGGTATGGAATTAAGAAATTTTGGAGTATTAGTGCACCACTTGAGTAAGCTCATACCCGCTTTTTAAACATGTCAACAGGTAAACAATTCTTGAAAATCTGAACTTCCTGACAAAATATCATCCATATACGTGTCTCTAATTATTACAGCAGCGACTAACGGAAAACTATCACCCTCATCTAATCATCACCTAATTGTTTAATAAGTTCTGGTTGCTAAGTAGGGTGCACAAGAAGTTCCGTATGTAACAGTGTTAAGTTTGAAAGTTTGCACTGGGTCATTCACGCTGTTCTTCCATAATATCAACTGTAAGTTACGATAATCAGGGTGAATCACAATTTGCCTAAACATTTTAGAAATGTCAGTCGTGAACACATATGCATGTTGCCTGAATCGCAAAAGTATTGAGAATAAATCTTGTTGTATAGTATCGCCCTTGTACAAAATATCATTTAAAGAAAGACCCTATGTCGTTTTGGAGGAAGCGTTAAATACCACCCTCAACTTAGTGGTTTTACTATCTGGGCGAAGTACACCATGATAAGGTAAAAAATACGAAGCAGTTTTATCAAGAGGTTCTACAACTAATTGCATATGCTCCAAGTCAGCATATTCCATTAAGAATGATTTATAAAGTGTTTGCAACTCCTCATTTTTCGAGAGTTTTTTCCATAACTGATTTAAACGCATTTCGGCAACGGCTTCAGAATCACCGAGCGAAGAGGGATCCTCCTTCAAAGGCAACTGTACTATGTAACGCCCTTCATGATTTCGATAATGAGTATTTTTGTATTGAGTTTCGCAGAAGTCATATTCGACACTGTGTTCAACAGAGGGCTCACCAACAGTTTCTATATTCCAAAATGCTTGTAGCTGTTTATCAAAGATTTCCGAATTTATATCTGAAATAAACGTTAATCCACAATATGCTCTATTTGTACTATTGTTGGAGCTCCCCACGACAATGGAACCAAATACAGTTTCTTGAAACAACCAATTACTACATGCCGATCGAAACTGATTTGGCTTTAAAATTTCAAAAAAAAGCTCGTAACCTACAATTAATTCGACTTCTTTTTGTGTGTTAAACTCTGGATCAGCCAAATTAATATCCGATGGAATCTTTATATTAGATACTTCAACCGGATTAATTATCGTTAAATTTGTGATTGAAGGAACAATTAAAAGTTCTAAAGATGTTGAAAAACTTCCACTATTGTTATTAATTTACAGTGGTTACCTTTTGTTTGATGTTTACCGAAATGTCGCTCAATCCAGAAACAGAAGCATTTATTTTTTATCTTTTCAACATTAAATTATTAGCTTACCTTTGTTTACAGAAAGAAAGATGAGAAGAGGAATCCAAAATCGCTCTGCATGGATAATAGTCTCCTAATTAATTTCTAATATAAACAACTGCAGTAGGCAAGATAATATTTTGCTTCTTTTTTGATATTAAATAATTTGAAAAGGGTTAGAATGTTCTTGTGGGAATAAATCATTCATTTGCGAGACAGATGTGTGATCGGCTCTTGGCATCGTAGAAACTGAGGAGGTAGGAGGCGGGGAAGAAATCTCATAAATATGCAGTAAAGTATTATGGCGTTTCTTGCAAACGAAGCAGGAATTTTCTGATTTACAGTCTTTTACTTTGTTATCTCATTAAATCTATCCGAAACCTTCATATTTTAAAAGGTATTGCACTTATAAATCATGTGTGGTAATTTACAAATTACACAAGAGTTGGGATTATTATTCGAATTCAGGAAACATTTACTCTTATTTACTGTTAGCTTATGTTTATAAATTGAAGAAGAAGCTGGTCGATTAATACTATAAGGAATTTGGCTTTTTTTTCAATTCTGGTATTTTATTTGATGCGATAGTTTGTTCGTATTGTTTTCTAGTTTCTCGATCTACCTTTTTCAAAATGATGTTAAGCAAAAGTACGTCAGATAAATTATTACGATCAAAATTTAGGAGCTTTAAAGCTCTGATATTTTTCTTTAAAATAATACCATGTTTCTAATATCTCCTGCTGATTCATTTGCAAGTTTTTCAATTTCCAAAATTTGATTTATATAAGTGTCAGTTAGGAGACGTTTATTCTCAAATCTATTTTCTAATGCCTTTAAAAGTGACTCAAAAGAATCGTCAACAGTTTTGAGACGTTTAGCGTCGCCCAGCAATGACGCTTTCAAATAATGCAGTTTTTGAGAGTCGTTGAAATCATTGTTTTTAGTTATAATGTTATCAAATTGTGATTTAAAATTGGGCCACTCATCATATTTACCGTAAAATACCGGTAGTGGTATCTCAGGTAGTTTAATTTCTAGTTTTGTTTCCGAATCAGCCTGAGATATTTCATTTTCACTATTAATTATTGAAGGTTTAATTATCAAAGAGTTAAGAATATCTTTTATTCTTACCTCCAAAGCTTCTAGTCTGTCTACTGTTCCTTCTAAATCAGTTTCTATTTCAGTTATCTCTGGGTCACTTATATCTTTTAGACCATAATATTGATCCTTCAATTCATCAACCTTTTGATACAATTGTGCAACACGCTTAAGCTTCACTTCTAATTCCGTTGGATTGTGCCCCTTCGTTTGATCAATGTAAGTTTCTAATTTCGTTATGGTGCCTTTGACGGCACGCTTCGATCTATTTAGTTTCTCTTTTTCCATCTCCGGCTATTAAGGATCACTAATGTTCGAAACCAATTGATTTGATTTCTATGCTGATTCGTTTGATAACAAATGAATAAAATGGATAACGGACTGTAGTTAAGATTTTTATTATCATTGGTGCTACGAGCACGCTATTGCTATAAGATCAACAACCAAATTTTAACTGTTTGGGGTTTCAAGAAACGGTGGCGAGGATGCTAAGATAAAGATGCCAAATTGGTGCTATATTTCTGAGATACTATTGAACATTTTCTTTTTGGCGTAGAGCCAAAGATGGTAGACCATTGGCCTTATTCAAAACAAAAGTTCTGAATTCTGCGAACGAAGGGATATTTTTTTGTTTGATCTAACGTCCAAACGCGAAGTGTTTCTGGATCTTTCCTTTTAAAAGAAAAATAATGATAAGTGTCCCAATGCTCTACATGTTGTTTAAGGACTTTTGTGAAGTAGTATCAATTAATTTTCGTAATCCTGACACGGATTCATATTTTAAACTAGGTTGAGAAATTAACCTGTTTAATGTTGCGTTAATGATTTCTATTTCGTTTTCATAACGTTCTTTAAGTGCATTCCATGCTCTTTTGTAATTTTCATTAGTAATTTGAATCGATTGTGATAAAGTAGCTGATTCCCCTTTAACAGAGAATTTAAGATACTGTAATTTTTGACAATTACTTAAAGAACTGTTATTTCCTACGCTCAGGGGTGGATCCAGAAATTTTTCCTGGGGGAGGGGGGGCGTCATAGACTCAGATTCACCGCCACAACTTATTTTTTTTATAAAAAAAAATGTTTTTAAAAATTTTTTTTGAAAGAAAAAAAAAATGGGGTTTTTAATGCTAGTTTTCCCATTTATTTTTTTTCATAATGAACAATACATAAATAATTGAAGTATTCAAAATCTTTAAATAATAAATGTAATGCGTTTTTTAGAAACTTTGGCAAATATGTCAATGAATGACGCTTGGAGCGCTTCAACATTGTTAATGTTTACAATGAAACTATGACGAATTTCGTTTTAATCTTTTGGATTATGATTCTTGAAACAGTGAAGAACATAATTAGATGGGGGAAAAATCGACTTTTCCGACCTATCTAGGTGTATATGCCCCCTTAAATAATTTTCAAAATGTTTTATTTCTTTTGCAAACTATTAAAAAAATTATTATTTTTATTTTATTTTTAAATTTTTTTGGGGGGGGGGATCATGACCCCTATGATCCCCCCCGCTGGATTTGCCACTGCCTACGCTTGCTAAGAATAAATCGCGAAATAAAATCCAATCAAGATAATTAGAAGTAAATATTGGTAGTTCTACACGGGGAAGTTTTAAACTGTTTACATCAGCATTGGATGTATTTTGAGACGCAATATTATTTACATTGACGTGATCTTTATTATGTTTTTTTTTTAAATTCATTCTTTAAAGTAATTTTTAAAGTATCTACTTTTGAAAGCAATTCATGCATTTCTTCTTCATATTTATCGAATTCTGTATCAGAACAAGAAAATAGAATTTCATATTTTAAATTATTTACATCAATACTTAATGAATCAGTATCGTTTTGATAAAAATCAATATTGGAAACAGAAATCTCCTGACTTTGCAAGCTATTTACTTGAGTAATTAATCTGGTTAGCTTACCTTTAATGATTTTCTTACGTTGTAGAAGGGAATTCATGTTTGACTGTGATCTCCCGCTAAAAGAGGAGTGCTTCTGATTTGAATTGGGATTTGCTTTTGGGTTTTTTGAATGTTATTCCGTTGATTTAGAAGTTTCGTTGGCTGCGTCACTGTCATTCATCTTAAAANTGTGAATTTTCCTTAATTTATGATAACCAGTGTATATGCTGGGACTAGGACGGACCGATTTGATGATGAGACCAGACAAGGAACAGCACGCGTTTCTAAACATAACTTTATTTCTCTTTGTTTACACACACACTGAACAGCAAAATTAATAGAAAAATTAGAACATGAATAATAGCGCCCTCTAGTGATGAGGCAAACTGAATTTAAGGCTGAACAATGCTATTTGGATAAGGCCGTCCGAAGCATAAATTTAAGTTTTAAATTCTTAAGTTAATATTAATTGATAATCTTAAAAAAACAACAACAAATAACAATGCGTAAATTAAATACTTAATAAGGCAAATGAAATGCAATTAAACGGTGTACCTACTTTTTGTGTCAAGGGAAAGGAAATATCTTAAACTTGTGTGAAATTAAAAAACACAGAATAGAAACTTCAATTTTAACTTTAAACAAGCTAGTAAACTCCAAGAGTGTAAATTATCACCAACAGTAATTTGGTGCAAAGTTGCGTATGACGCAAGCAGCAGTTTTTAAGACAGTATTTTGAGAGGGAGGCGAATCAGGTTTACAATAATTTTCAAAAGTTAAATTTAGTGAGGTTATTTTTTTATTTTTCTTTTATTTTTATTATTATTTTTTAATTGAATGAGAATGTTGAAGTTTGAAGGTTACGCATTACCTCAAAGTTTCAGTACAATAAAGCTAATAGAAGTTCTAGTTTTTAAAAGAGCTTCGTTTGAAATTTTATTTATTGCTTTTCCATTTTAATTTTATGTATTTTAGACATATTTTGTTAGATAATGCAAATTAGACGTTAAAAGAAAGAGAACAGATTTAAAATACTATCTTCCGATTTTTTGAAGTAAAATTTAATTAAACAGACTTTTAGCCTCTAGAAAAACTTGTTTTTTTTTATTAGTTCCTTTTTTTTTAATTTTAAATTTTTATTTTCAACAGTGTTTTGTCGATAATGTATAGAAAAAATTCTTGACACGAAATAACTGCTGCGAAATTTCATAAATGGTTGAACTGCTAACTCATAAATTTCTTTGAAAAGATCTTTGAATCTCTCACACCATGATTAGTTGGCCGCTTGCGTCATTTTTTGTCACTGCTGGTAATCGGGGCAGACCATCAGTTATATACAAATCAACTAGTCACCGTTTAGAATTAGGTGTCGATTACAATTGCTATTCATTCTAAATAATGATTAAGGTTTCCGACTACCTTAAAAGCGAGGATTTTCACAAAAAATCACTTTTTTATTTTATTGCTTAATAATAATGCCCAATTTTTCTATTTTTCAAAACTGTTTTGTTTTTGAATGCACGTCAAGCAGAACTTTAGTTATAGCTATTTTAGTAGCAGATGACAGCTGTCTAACTTACCGGAAATTACAAAAATGAAACCGGTAGTAGGTAATAGTTTCGGTTCCATTTCTATTTGTGTGTTTATTTTTCTTAGATATTTAATTTTTAAAAGCTCTTAAACTCTCGGCTAATAATCTGAATTATATTTTAATTAGATTTTACGTTTCGTGGTTACTGTTTGTGGGTAACATGAAAAGTTAGCATATTTTCTGATAATTTGTTTACATTTGAAGAGTACTTTCTATATCTTGATTTTGATTTGTTTTGAGGAAATTTATTGATTTTTTTCAAATTTTTTTTTTATTTATTTTGATAAATTTATTTAGATGGGTAAAGTACGTACTTCTCGATCTAAGAAACGTAAATATTACGGTAATCAACATGCCAACAAAAGCGATGATTTGAGTAAAGTTGATTATACCATTTATTCAAAATTGTGTAAAGCAGATGAATCTATTACTTCAAGCTCTTCAAAATTATCGATTTCTATGGATGTCAATAAAGAACCGATGCCTTTGGATAAAAACAATCTGTGTGGCAATCGAATAATTGATATTGAGATCCTGATGATATTAGCTTCATTATGTTGTCCGGTTTGCTATGATAACAAATTGCATTTAGAAGAAAATTCTAGATTTGAGCTATTATAAATATTATAAAAAATATTTTTTACTTCTAATTATTAATAAAAACTATATTTAGACATATATATTAAAGTGTGAAAATACAGTAAGATGGTTGTTTAATAAAAAATTGTTCCAGTGTTAAATGCTTTATAAGTAGTAGACTTTTGATGTTATTCACTAAATACTTTAAAATATCGCTAAATAATACGTTAAAATATCGCTACGTTAAATAAAACTAAGAAAATGTGTGAAGGAATGTGCCCCCTATAAAATATAATAACTTCCTACTGACAAACATTCATAGTTTTTAGAAAAAATGTAATTATAAACTTTAATTGTGTTTTTCTCAAAATGACAATTTTGCTGTTTTTTGTCTACGGAAAACAAGATAACTCAACTAATTATAATAAATTTGTCTTCAAACTTTCAGAGATTGTTTCTTGTATTGGTGGTTATGTAACAGACCTCCAGAATTCAGATAACTGTATTATTTTTTGTTTTATGAGATATTTTGCAGTAGATAATGTGAAGAAAATGTGAAAAAAAATGGAAAAATATGCTTAACACTCCATAAATTTTTTTTATTTCATGATATCATTTAAGTTGATGTTCATAACACTTCAGAGGGTTATACAAAACGGCTCTAAAAGTTTGATAGCTGTATGCACAATAGTTTTTTGTGTAGAGTGTTTTCCGTTAATGAGTTATTTTCATTAAAATTATCAAAAAAATACTCTTTAAACAAAAAATTTCCTGTATATTTAAATTTTCTCTATTAAATAAGTTTATTTGAATTAATATACAATATAAATTGCAATAATGTTGTGGAAAATATTTATTTTTCAAAAATTTTGTCCCGAAGGTAGTCGGATACCTGAATAAATTACTAATAATCGTAAACGGTTAAAAGCATTAATTACATCAAAAAAATGTTAATACAATTTAATTAGTATAACAGTAATCGAAAAAATTGCAATTAAAATTATTGGAATTATATGCAGTGCGCGAAAAAAAAAATAAAGAAATAAAGGGACCACCCTGAATAACTTTTGATCTAATGATCAGATTTTCACGTTCTAGGATTCAATCGTAATGTTTAGAGAGGGTAACCTCAAATATGCTAATTGCTTAGTGCAGACGATATTTTAAGTCACGAAATCAGACACAAAAACGTACTTTCTCTGAATAAACATACTTTTTTTTTCAACAGATTTGTATTTCTGACCCCTAAAATGTAGAGGAAATATAAAAGATCTCCATATATGGCGAAATATGCAAGATATAAAATTAACATTAAGGCATCCAAACTTTGGATCGCTCTCATGATCAAATTATAGGGACCATATTCCCCAGAATGTGGTTACCCTCTTTATTTTGGGGGTTCAAAATCTGAATCCGTTGGAAAAAAAAGTATGTTTATTCAGAGAAAGCACATTTTGGTGTTTGATTTCATAACTTAAAATACCGTGTGCACTAATTAATTCGCATATTTGAGATCACCCCTTCGAACCGTAAAAATTAAGTTATAAAACGCGAAAATCCGATCATTAGATCAAAATTTATTCAGGGTGGTCTGTTTTTTATTTTTCACACTATACATCAAGTTCTGTGAACAAAATGTTTTTAAATTCACTCCAAAGATATAACGAAAAAAAGTATGGGTCTAGGTTTTGAATCCACCCAGCTTTAGAGCGGATACCAGCTTGTCAGGGAAATAAAGGCGGTAGGTGCGCAATGTTGAATTTATTTTCACCATCACTCCGCGTTAGTCATAAATCGTAGAGTCTTAATATCGATGACCCTCTAGCTCACAATAGACTGTTGGGCGAATTTTTTCTGTATATAAATATTTTAAATAAAATTCTCCTCGTGCGGATATTTTCTTGCTATACCATAATTAGATCTGCAATAAGGTAAAGTGAATGAGAGAAAACCATATATTTTAAAGGAATTGCAACGCATCTGCGACCCCTGAAGCCAAATTCGAGAAAAAAAATGAAATTTATGAAAAAATATTGAAGAGTCAATTTTTAACTCCAAATTCAAATTTTGAATAAATTTTATTCATTTTTAATGAGATTGTTCGAATGAAAAGTTTTTAAAAAAGAGCTATTACTTGTATTTGTGTCCAAATTTTCTTAAAAAGGCAAAAATTAAAAGCTGCTTAAGTGTTTCTCGTCATTATAGGAAGACGGTTAAGCCGTTGACTAGATATTATTCAGGTTCAACAGAAAGGTTTTCCCAACTTTTTAAAGCTGGACCGTGTCTAGGAGAAAACTTTAGAAGAAAGTTTTTGCATTTTACTTTCGCAGACCTTAGAAAACAATCCAAAAACATGGTCTTATGCTCGTTTATATGCTTTCCCTTAAATGAGGTCCCTTGCAAAATATTTTCTTATTATTTATTAATATTTTCACTGAAAAGGTTAATATTTGCCTTATTTCGTTTCCTTGGAAAAAAAGTTTTCGCTTTATATTTCTGCTAACCTAATCATGACAACAAACAAAAATGCAAAAAATAATGTTTACCATTTGCTTGTTTTTTAACCTAATAACAATATCTTTTTAAAAAAGCTTTAAAAATCCTTTAGTTTTCATCATATATGGCAACGTTACTTTTAAAAAGTAACGAGTGAAAGTACAAGTATTTTTTAAAAAAAGTAGCGAGTAAAAAGTTCTTATTTTAAAAAGTAACGAGTAAAAAGTTCTTATTTTAAAAAGTAACGAGTAAAAAGTACAAGTAAAAGTACAAGTACTGAACAAAAAAAGTAACGATTTAAAAGTACATTTCTAGGAAATCGAAAATTCAAAGTAACCTAAAATTTTATTGTATAATATTCTTATGTTCTTTAATGTTTTTGCAAAATTGTTGTTATTTATTTAATTA